GTGGACATTCCCATCCCATATCTGAAAGGCCCTTCTTAGCACATAGTGCTGAAAGTGGGATTTACCATCTTCCCTCCAGTGTTTGTATATAGTGGTTTTCTGGGCACATAGTTGGCACTCAGAAATAAAGGGAAGAGAGGTTAAGTCAACTGGCATAAATGACCCAAGGCAGAGAGCTTTCAGGCTCTAGAGGAGTACCAGGAGTTCAGAGAAAGGATAAAGTGGTTTCCAGCAAAGCCAGGAGGAGTTGGGGTGCAGCTGGCCATTAGGGACTCAGGGAGGTTTCATAGGGGAGATACTGTTGGGGCCAGTGTGAAAGATAGGCAGCACTGAGACACTGGGCATCCAGGTGGAGGAGCCTGGTGAGCAGAGATGTGGCAGCCAGCAGGTGAGCAGGGACTGGGCAGTGAAGCTCTCTACTCTGCCACCAGCATCCCTTGCTAAAGGCAAGCAGCAGATGACAAGACAGCCCAGGCCTGGTCATGGGGAATTTAAGCACGGGGATGAGAAGTCCACAAGTCACTCTATTGTCACGGGTGGGTGTGGCTTACAGTGGACTTTGAAAGCATCAACAGCAGTGCCCCGACAACCACTGGCCTCCACCGTGCAATTTCCAGTTCTCAATTGAGTGTCCCTGCCTCAGAGATGCTTCCCCAATACAAGGATGGTTTCTCATTCTCCTCTGCATGAATGTTCCTGCACTCTCTCCCCTCTCCACGCACTCCTTTCCCAGGCCTGTGCCCCCCTCACTGAGAGACCTTGTCTCTCTTGGTTAACCCAATACCCAGAGCAATACAAACTAGAATTTCAACCTTGGCTTAGAGATATTGCCTCGATGGGCACTGCAGAATTTACCAAGTACCACTGTTGGGCTGGAGGAAAAGATGCATTCAGAAAGGCTCCAGGGTTTAAACCTTCCTTGTAGGGGCATCTGTCTCACTAGGAGTACTTCCATTCCTGTCTAAGAAACTTAGGATTGGTGCATAGTCAGAGATCTGAGTGCTGATTGGAGAATGTGAGGCGGTGACATAGAGATCTGAGTGCTGATTGGAGAATGTGAGGCGGCACGGGAGACGCAGAAAAAGACTTGATGTGGACTTAGATTGAAAGTCAGCTGATGTAATTTAAGAACCACAGCCTGGAGAGGCTTCTGCTATTGTAAGCCTCTAAACATTGCCAAGAACAGAGATTTTGTTGCTGCCCCCTTGACTCTAGCCACACTGTAGAGTTCTCCAAGAACATTTACCCTATCTCCAACAAAATAGATACGGTGATACTCCTTAAATACATCTCTAGCATCAAGAATGAGCTCATTTGCCTTTTTCTTCTTTTTTTGTCTAATACTGAGGATTGAACGCAGGGCCTTTCCACTAAGCTGCATCTCCAGCTCTTGTATTTTTTGTGTTTATTTTGGGATAAAGTTTCACTGAGTTGCATATGCTGGGTTCAAATTGTGATCCTCCTGCCTCAGCCTCCCAGAGAACTGGTATTACAGGTGTGTAACACAATGCCTAGCCTTATCTGCTTTGTTTCTGTATTTTAGGTATCTCTGCTTTAATGCTCATCATCTTGCTTTGCCAGTTTCTGCTTCTTGGTTTAGTCAGAGCTATGCTGAATCTGATGTACCCTGAAAGATGGGAGCCGTGAAATGCTCTGCGTAGCTGCCCTCCAGGGGCCACGCTGCGCCATGCCACGCTGTACCGTGCTGTGCCTTGCTCCTGCTTCTGGCTACATCCCATTCACACTCCTCATCCACAGTGCCTCTTGCACCATGCGCAGCCTTCCCAGTGCTGGTTTCCCAGACTGCAAGTTGCAATTTGAATGATCCAGTATAGAGACATATGTTTGCAATCTTAAATTTCTTAAAAAGATTTTTTAAAAATCATGGTGTCTGGCACTCTCACCTGGCTGCCCACCTCTTATTGCCAGGGAGACCACAGGACAAGTGGCTTCCTGGGGACTCACACTGCAGGCCTAGGCTTCAGGCTGATTTTACGATGTCACCGTGCCTGGATATTGCTAGGAGGACTTAATGCTGTTCAGAAAGGGATCCCCGGGGCAGAGTTTAAAACTGTAAGGAGGGGCCGTGGTGAGGGCTGAGGTTGGAGTAAAAAAGTAAGTGATAAGAGCTGGAGGTCTCACGTACTCCAGATGCCCCAGCACTCACCTGGCCAGACATGCATATAGTGTTAATAAGCAGGGAGGCGGTTAGTTAGCAAACATGGCTGTAGCTGTAAGTGTGCATTTTCAGTGAGATCTGTGTTTGCATCAGTATGTGTGTGCTGTGTGTGTGTGTGTGTGTGTGTGTGCGTGCGCGTGCGTGGCTATAACCGTGTCCATCGTCCATTAGCAGTGCAGAGCATCTCTTCTTATTTTGCTTCCATTAAGACCTGAAGTACAGTTTTGGCTATGGGACAGTGAACTGTGACAGTGAGTCCTGTTAGCTCTCTGCTGTTAATTCACTCTGTGATCGCACATGAGTTGCATCTGTTATGTGCGATAGAGAACACTGCAGTCAGATGATGCTGCTGACAAATTGCCTCCATCTCAGTTGTAAAATGTCTGTGACATGAAAACAATTTGTCTTGCCATCATTTCAGATGTTTCTAGTTTTCTTCTGTAACCAGAGTCTCATTTTATAATCACTTTGAACATGAGAAAAATATTAACAGTCCATGATTTAAGGGCTTTGAGCTTTAGCAACATTTACTGGCTGTTACAGCAAAACCCCCAAGATTTCTTCTGCGACCAAATTCCCATTTCATTTGAAGAGACCCGCTTCATCTAGTTATTACCCATCCACAAAAGAACACTGCTTTTAGGTTACGAAGGCAGTTCTTCTTGCAGATTTCTCCCACTTAGAGGAAGTTGTCTGAGAAAAGTTAATGTATTTATAGAAGAATGTATTTGGACTTGGGCCAAAAGTTATTTTGAAATGTGCTTTCATGTATTAATGTCACTAAAAGTTGCTATACACAGCTTGCACTGTTATTTTCTTTTCTCTAACTACGATTCAAAATATTGTAAATAACAAAAAGAACACTAAAATCAGGTTTATTTTCAGATTCATCAAGAAAAAGGACAAAAGCTATTGTTTTTTCTGATGCAAAGTTCTGGAATATTTTCTCTAATAAGGAAGACTGTTACTGGTTTAGGAAAACTCAAGCTAAATGTAAAAAAATAATAATAATAAAAAGCTTTAAGTTTGAAAATTCAAGCTAAATGGAAAATGTATGTATGCCAAGAATTTTAAACTTAATTCTGACATAGGTAAAAATTATTTAAGGTATATTTGCTGTAATGCTCATTTTTCCTTTTTTAAAATTTTATTTTGTTTTGCTGGATATGGTAGTGCTTGCTTATTATAATCCTAGCACCGTGAGAGGGATGAGGTAGGTGGATCACAAATTCAAGCCCAAACTGGGCAACTTAGTAAGTCCCTATATTAAAATAAAATATAAAAAGGCTGGGGATGGAGCTTCATGCAGAGGCCCTGGGTTCAATCCCTAGGATCACTAGCAGTAGATAGATTTGATAGACAGTATTTTATTTTTTATTGATAATAGTACTTACACACGCACGCACGCTCACACACACACACACACACACACACACACACACACACGGTACATTTTGATGTCTCAGACCCACTGAGCATTCTCTCGTAATTCCCCAGTCCTCTGGGACCAAATGTGAGCATCAAATTGTGGGCAAGTTGCATCTGGTCCACTTATTGTTTCTCATGGGTTCTCCTTGGTGTTCTGATTTGAGAAAAAGTCCTTCTACTTGTGGGAAGTTTTATTTTAGCTTCTTTTTATTTCAGTAATATGCTATATTGGCAAAAACACCAAGTTTAATGACAAATGTATGTTCAGTCCCCACCTCAGCCATTTAATCTGTTGTTAATTTTGAAGGTAATGAGCTATAGCAAGCTGGATTATTGTGAGAACTAAATCCCATAGCATCTATAAAACTCCTAATCCAGTGCTCACCATCTGTCATATTTCCTGTGAAAAACAATCCTGTTTCCAGGATTAGCTGTATAGTTGCACTAAAGACAAACCCATGAACAGGATGAGAACAGCGTTGCTGTAGGTGAACCTGCGCTTGTGACTAGTGAACGAACAGCCCAGCTTCCTGCCGGGCACAGAGGCAGCATCCCCACCTCTTCTCCCCTCCCTTCTTCTTGGGGTGGGACATGACAGTAACAGGAAGCTGCCCTGTGCAGAACTGTGTGTTCTAAGCGGAACACCCCTTGCAGTGGGGTGCCCCGGGCTCTGTGGTCCTGCTGTTTCCCCACCTTACTGTGCACTGATGTAGGTTCTCTTTTAGATCCAGCGGGCTGACAGATGTCTCCTTTTGACCCATATGGGTGTAGTCTGCCTGCTGGTGGTTGTCACCTGCAGCACTCTGAGGGACTCTTTGGGTGTCAGCATTTGGTGAGGCTCATCTGCGCTTTGCCACACCATGCAGGGAGCTGGGTATTTCTTTGTTAAACACACACACTGACACCGCGAGTTTCTTGTGAGTCTCTGTACGTCACAGGAACCTTTGAAAGATAGCAGCTCATCCCTCACCAAGAAATAATGAGGACATGTTTATTGACTGCAGAAAGTTGAGTCACATTGGCCATACCCATAGGATATGTGTATGGTGGCTCCCAGAGGGAGGCTGGCTTTCCTCTTGGCCATCCAGCGTTGTCCAGCACCCAGGCTGTCGTTGTCTCTGCTGTCTTGGCTCGAGACTGGCCAGTGGCCAAGAGCAGTTGGGGCTACATTCTTCTCCATCTACAGGAAGGAAGCTATATCCCAGGGCCTTGCCAGAGGCCCCCAGCAGGTCCCTCCCCAGTCGCCTGGCTAGGCGTGGGCTATGCACGCCTATAGGCGATTTCCTGGTTGGGGGAGTAGGAGTGCTCTGTGGGCCCCGGGCTCTACCTTGGGCAGTGCCCATAAAGTACAGGCGTGAGGATGGATGTCCTGATGGTGCCAGTGTTCTTTTAGGAAGGAAGAAAGCTCCCGGGAACAGCCTTGGCCATCTGGACAAAGCCAGCTCAGGTCTCTTGGAGGAGGGCTTTCATGGTGAGTCTTGAAGAGTCTGTGCGCGTTACACCCAAGTTTGAAGGCCATTTGAGCCAGAAGAGTATCCAGAGCAGATAGGAGGAAGTCCTTGAAGACAGTAGTCGGGGATGCAGAGAAGTGGTAGTTAGAGCAGTACCTCCGGTGGCCTGTAGGGACTGCTTACCAGCAGGACATCAGGGGATGAGGCAAATGGGGCAGTCCTCATCCTGGAGCCCGTTAGCACCCTTTGTCATGATCTGCCACCATTCCCCTCTGCACCGTGCCTACACACACCCCTCTGTCTACATGACCAGGGAGGACGTTCGTGTGGCAGTGATGCTGCAGCAGAAACAGGGACAAATATGTAAAGTACTGTTAATCCTCTGCTCTGTCCTAATCTGCACATCTTCCTCTTTCTTAGCTTTGGGACAGAGTTTAGGTGAGAAGTGGCTCTGCTGTGACACTGATCTTTACTAAGAACTTCAGAAACCTCAGCATTTGAGTATCAGCTATTTAGGAATTTGTTGAGCTTCATAGAAGTTCACTTTGCGTTTAGGCTTTGGGAGGAAACATACTGTTTTCCAGTGTCATGTTTCCTGCAAATGACTGAACTGTGCTTAGTCAGCATCTTCCCCACAAAATATTCACCTTTGAACTAAGACCAAACAGAGAACAAGGAAGGCCTTGAAATATTCCAGGCTGTTCTGAAAGCAAAGGGTTAGAGGAGAAGGAGACCTTTTCTTTCTTTCTTCTTTTCTCTTTTCTTTTTTAGCACTTCTAGCACTTTAATACTCCCTAAAGATTTAACACCTCCCAACTTATCAGCCTTATTCTTTAACTACGTAGGATCTTTTCCCACCTTAAAACATTACTTATTAAAGTTTTTGAGGAAAAAAAAAGTCCAGGGAATGTAAAATGTCTGACTTGAGTTCTGTGTGCTGTTGCCCCTTGTGTTACCCTTGGGAAAACAGGAAAGAGATCAGCTTATAAACCGCAGCCCACCCTGCACAGGGGCACTGGGTAATGAGGCAGGCGGCCTCACCAAGAAGGAAGAGGCACTCAGCTGCCACCAAGGTGTCTCACCCAGCCCACACCCTTCCTGGGATTGCACTGAGGACCACACAGTGCATGGAGCTTCTCATTTTAACCCCAGCTGACTTGCACACTGGCTTTGGCATCCTTCAGGAAGCAGGCTTGTGGGCCAGCTGGCCCCCAGAGCCCGGAGCCTCCACTGGCATTCTGTGTGCAAGTGCAGCTGACCCAGACTTGCATTTCTTAAGGTAGCCAAAAGCCGGCATCTGGCCCTAATTAGACTCAGCTTATGGGCTCCCCACTAGCAGCAAATGCATCTCCTGTTCTCCTCTTCTCTTCTGACAGAGTGGGGCTGGGAGGGAGAGCAGGGGCACAGGCTTCTGTTTTTCTGGCTCTGATTGCTTTTCACTTGCAGTCACATTCTTCTTGGTGCTTGCGCAGGCCTCGCTGTCATTTCTGGTAGGTGTGATTGCCTCTGGAAGCTTCCTTAAAAGACTGTTAGGTTTATTTCCAGTTCTCGAGCACCTGCTGTGTGCGGCACACTGGAGTCTGGGAGCAGCCAGGCGGTGGAGCCAATGGCAGGTGGCTCTGGCCCAGAAGCAAGGATGCGCTGGACCTTCCTTCCCAAGAGGTCTTGCAGAGTGTACAGCAAGCACCCAGCATCCGCTTACCTATTGACTTTGGATATTGCCTAACGAGGGTCTTTTCTTCCTCAATCTTCTAAATTGAAATACAGTTCTAAAATTATAGCATCTGAAGAGCACTAGTTTTCTGCATTGGATGCCATGAGAATTTTTTCTTATGCTAGGGTAGAAGAGATAGAGCCCCTTCCTGGCAGTGCTCTATTAAGGCAGCTGCTACCTAGGAAAACTCAGAGAGGTTTAAGCAGATACATTTTCTAAGCCATACTCAAGTCATACTTCCAAAAATCCAAGGGAAATTGCTCATAAATGCTCCTTTCTGGATTGTGAGTTGGAGCTTTTTTTTTTTTTAAGGCTCCCATAGAGGCATGATGGGCTGCCCAGTGCCCAAAAAGCAGCTGCAGCCATGTGGCCTGCCTCCTGCTTGTCACCGTTGTCACTGTGACTCTTGACTGGGAGCCTATCCTGCTCCTGCACCATTGGCACAGAGCAGTAGGTGCTTTGACTCTGTCTGGTGGAGCTCACTGTAGAACAACCAGGTCTCATTTCCACTTGCAAGGTGAAAACTAGAACATCAGTTCCAATAGTGCATTTGACTTGGAATTTACTAGAGTGGTCAAAATGATAGATCTGAGATATACTTGAAGGGATAATTGTACACAAGGAGTTTAAAAGCTGGTAAATATTTAAGGGTCAGGGGTTAAACGTCAAAGGCACAGTGCTTGGGATCAGCTCCATAAAATATCAAGAATGACTCCTAATTAAATCCAGGGAATATTTCACCAAAGGGAAATAAATTTGACAGCTAACAACCAATGCTGGATTACCACCTTACAGAGGTTAGGGATAATGCTAGCAGTTGTAGGTGGTTTACAGTTTTTAACTCAGTCCTAATCGGGAGGATGATTGCTTACAGTTATAGATTACTGCACTACAGAATGTCTTATGAGCCAATAATAAGTATTACCAAAACACATACCTAGGTCCCCTGGCTCACTATTTATTTAAAAATAAATGCCTAGGGGCTGTCACTGAGCAAATCTCTAAAACAAATGTAGTCAAAAAGACATGCTCACTTTTTTCTATAACAGAAAATAATTGAATAAATAATTGCCAACCTGTGCTCTTACCAGCAGTGAAATTAGGTGAATTAGATTTCCAAATGAGTACAGTGAACTGAGAGCAGAAGAATGTCCACTAAAGGCAGAGCTGTCCCATCCCCAGTCACACACTTGTGCTTAGGTAACACGGCATTTTACCTAAGTTCAGCACACTCGGCCGGGCGTGTGATTTGGACGCTACTTTGGCTGCCCCACCTCAGGGCAAAGGCTGTTTACCTTCAGATGAGATATCCCTATGAACACTAAGCAAACAGAGTACTTGTAATATCTTAATAGCTGTGTTTACATGCAGATCTTGAGATTATTTCTGCATTAGATGATTTATAGGCTATATTAAGTAAATCACACTTGGAATGCTGTTGCAGAGGGTGAGTCATGAAATGCTGCTGTCTCTGTTTCCCTTTTCCAAAGAGAACTCCAAGGGGATGAAATGGAAAAGGGATCCCTCATTCCTTACCCCAATCTCAGTGCTAATCAGAAATCATCCTGTGTAAGTTAGCCTGTAGGCTGTTTTTACTGTTTTATTTCCACTGCTATGTAGGTGCCATGTAGAAAAAATTGTCAAACCTAGAATTCCATAAAGATAAATTTATGTGGAAAAAATAGCCAACGCCATTACAGAAAACCTCATCACCCCTAATACCCAGGCTTCTGCAGGCTGAATTAATTACTGCATAATCCTTACTTGAGGTATTGGTTAAATCAATTAAGTTGTTAAGAGTAATTTCAATAATGCTCGTGTGTGAGAGAACTACATGGCAAACAGGATTCGCCTTAATTAGACTTTTAAATTCAGAACCCTATCTAAGTCTGGAGCCAAGTACTATATTTTGAATCTCTCCGTATTCCCTCAGTTGTAAAGGGAAATTTTTTAATACGTCTGGCTCTAAGTAATTAGTTTGCAAATTTGTAACGTGAGCTGTTGGAGGAGGCTGGTCAGAGGAGGAGGGCAGAGCCTCCTCCCTTTTGGTTTTATTAGCTTTTCCTGTGTCTGGAGACTTCCTGCTAGGACTGAACGTTCCCTTAAGTTCAACTCGTGGGAGGTTTGCACCAATAGCATAAAATGCCTGCAGACAGGTACCTGCCACTGACCCTCAAGCACCTTTTGCCCTTAAGGGAAAAAAAAGTAGTGCTTTTCTTTGTCAAGCCTTCACAGAGCAAGGTGGCGGCACAGCCAGGGGCTGCTGAGCTGCTCTCCAAAACCCCCCTGTTTGCTCCCTGTGAGGCCCTTGTCTCCTTCCTCTCTGAACATGAGATCCTGCGCCGCAGATCCTGTCCAGACCTGTGGGAAAGTGCACAAAGCCCAGCCGTGTGTCCCGGCCTTTCCCACTCACTGGGGAAGGAACTCCCGCAGGAAGGCTTCATTAGGCTGAAAGAACATTGGCCTTCCCTTTAACTCTTTGACGTCTCTGCAGTCGGCCCAGGGAGAATGTTCATGGTCCACAGGCTCAGCCTCTGCAGTGCGCCTAGAACGGCTGCCACAGTGTTTCCCAGACGCCTCCTTCCCCAGGCAAGGGTTAATCATACCTTGGCCCGCCCCTACAAAATTCAGGGTTTGGTACAGAGGACTGGCACTCTGGCGAGCACTTTGAGTAATGCCATTACACATCCTGTATGCAAATACCAGATTAGGAATCTAAAAAGTCACATTGTATTGGAATCTGAGCTTGATAAAATGTAATTTGTTCAGGGTTTCCATTCTCCAAAGACTGCACGTGTCTGGTTTCACAGTAACTTATTATATGTTGCAAAGAAATGGCTACCAAGCATGCCATGAGCAAAGAGCTCTCTCCAGCACCTTGTGGCCTTTGGTAATTGCAAGAAAATCACCACAGCAAAGGCATATAGTTATAGTAAACACAGAAACAATCCTAGGCTTTTCCTGGTTTATCTTACCATCTGCACATGGTGAGCCAAAATAGGCTATATGTCTTTTCCCTGAGGTGCAATATTTCTGCACTTTTTAATACAACTTAAATTTTATTTTTAAAGTCCTACAATGACACGTTTGAACATTCTGAAAGTTAAACTTGTTGTGAACATAACTGCAAAAGTTAGCGGAAATTGAGCAAATGAAAATATAAAGGCTTCCACTTCCTGTGTATGAATTTTTAGCCTTTTCCCAAACTTTCTCTATTGTAAAGTTAAAACAAAGTCTTATCGCAAGTAACATGGAATAGCAGCTGGATATCATTAAATCCCTCTGTCTAAGCTATTCTTCTTCATT